CTCCAGATATTTAGAATGACAACTCTCACCCCAGTCTGAAAACTGCCCGGGCGTTTTTTTGCTGAGCCCTGGATGGATATAAGCAAGGAAAGAGCCATTTTATCTTCAGAACAACTGTTTCATGCATATGGACACAGATGGAGATTTAAAGCATTGCGGAGAGCAATGAGGACACTTTTATGAGGGAATGGCCCTGATAAAAGGCATCTTTGTTGATCTATTTCAGTTCCAGCAAGACCTTGACACAGCTCCTGTCTTGGAGTCATCTTGAAAATGTGACCTCGTCAATTGATTCATCAACTAGAAAAACAACTCGCTGGGTGATTAAGGACCATTTGGCTGGCAGCCATCAGTGTGTTCTTCTATGTATAGGCATACATATATATAAATGTATGCATGTGTGTAAATAATATATATAAATGCTTCTATCGGCAGCCATTTACAAACCCCAAAATTTTAGAAATGTTCTAAAATTCAGAGAACATTTCTAAAATGCATAGTTCTTCTACCCCAACCTTCCCCAAGCAGGTGCCTTCCAGATGTGTTGCACTACAGCTCCCATTGTCCCCAGCAAATTGACTGTTTATTTCTCTGGGAACTCAGTCTTTAATTCTCCTGGACACACACACACACACACGCACACACGAGAGAGAGAGAGAGAGAGAGAGAGAGAGAGAGAGAGAGAGAGAGAGAGAGAGAGAGATTCCGATTCCGATTCCGATTGGGAACAGTGCACATATTTTCCAGTGCCTTTCATGGGACAGAATCTGGAATTTGTTACCAAATAAAACTTATTCCTAGTCATCATGATTTCAAATATTCAATAATGTATAGTTTAACCAGTTTCATTTTGGGCTGAACAAGAACAGATCATCAAATGTAAGGCTGTTTCACTGCAAGACCGAGATCATTCGCACCGCAGTATTCCCTATCACGCTGCATGGGTGTGAAAATTGGGCAGCAAAGAAAGCTGACAGGAAGAAAATGGATGCATTTGAAACATGGTGCTGGAGGAGAGCTTTGTGAATACCCTGGGCTGACAGAGAGTAGAATAAATGGGCCTTAGATCAAATCAAGCCAGAGCTTTTCCTAGAAGCAAAAATGACAAAACCGAAGCTGTCCTACTTTGGACACATCATGAGAAGGGCAAGCTCCCTGGAGAAGACAATCATGCCAGGCAAAGTCGAAAGCGGAAGACCAAAGATGAGAGGAACGAACTCCATCTAGGAAGCCGCAGTCCTGAATTTAGAAGCACTGAACGGGGCTGTCACAGATAGGACATTTTGGAAGACTTTCATCCATAGGGTCGCCATAAGTCAGAGACGGCGTGATGGCACACACCAACAACAGAGTCGGCCTATAGAACCCACTAGCCCAAGAGCTGCAGGTGGCTGCAGCCAAATCTGATGGCTTTATAGCAGTTTTCACACATCACAGGGACCATCCAGCACCCGCTATTAGCCAGGCTCTTTCAGAAGATCCCAGGTCAGCGTGCATCCTTCTGCAACCAAAGTCCAGATGCAACAAGGCTGGTATTAGTGCGCTTGGAGGCACTCCCAAGATTTGCAGAAGCACAAAGGTGGGAAGAGCTATTAGGAAACATGCCCCAGGGGAAGCCCAACGAGTGCTGAGCCTGCTGGATTTTGTGGCGGTCAGGGACAGAACACCGGGTGGCACATGGACCATGCAGTAAAAAATCATAATACACCAGTGTGTCTGTCACCACAGAGCTATATCGCAGAGGACAGCATGGCTGGCTGGCGCACCGAAGGGAGGAGTGCGCCATTTTGTTACAGCTCCCACTTGTCAGCGGCTGTCAGGGCCTCCGTGTGGGACAGCCGTATCTCTGCGCGCTAGCCCAGTACAGTGCTGCCAGCCGCTGGCATCCGGGTGCCCTGGAGCAGGTCACCAGCTGTTGGCCCCCAGCGGCTGGGGCTCAGCTCCAAGCGTGGCTATCGTGGCCAGTGCTGCCACCGCGGTCCCCTGCCTCGCCCTTCCTCAGAGCACCTGGACCAGTGATGCAATATGCATCTGGTCCAAGGAATAACTCCCCATTCGCTAAGCAGCTTTGCGGGAAAAGATCAGCTGCTCTTCACGGCTGAGCCACCCAAACTTCAGGTTTATGAAAGGAAAGGCAGGAAAGAGAGCAAGGAAGCACATTATCCCCTTCCTTGTAATTAATAGCCACAATGCAAGTTAATACCGACTCCACACAGTGGCACTTAGGTAAATAAGAATCCACGGTGCCATAATTGCGAAAATAATCTCTGGCATATGGCGACCTGCAAGGATGATCTGGCAGCAGGAAGACCTCTTTGACCCTCGCTGGCAAACGCGGCATCCGCTGCATAAGAAGCAGGTGCCGCTTTAATTCAGGTCAGTTGCAGCAAATGCTGGGGCCCTTTTCACCATTGGTGTGAAGCCACACCGGCGCAGCAATGGCTGACTTAAGATCCCCCATGGAAGCCCACCTCTCCAAGCCACGAATCTTTGCAGCCATGAGTCAGAAGCAGAACTACAGGTTTGGAAGGGAACCCGGAGGCCTTCCAGTCCAATTCCCTGCTCAGCACAGGATGTAGCTACAGTCTCCCTTGCAGATGGCTGCACGGGCCCTGTCAAATCCTGGGAACGAGGGAGAACCCACCTGCTCCTGAGACAGCCTCTTTCTCTGCTGAACAGCCCCCCCCCCACAGGGAGTGTCCCCTAATGCAGCCTTCCCAGCCCATGCCCTTCTGATGCTGCGGACGTCAATCCTCCTCAGCCCAGCCATTATGACCATGGAATCCGGGGAGCCCGAGTCCAAAAGAGCCGGAGGGCTCCAGGCTCAGGAGGCTTGCCTGGCATGTGCCCAGATTTGCTCCTCTGCAACTTCCAGCCACTGGTTCTAGCACTGCCCTCTAGAGCAATGCCTTTAAGGCACCTTCTGCCTGGCAGCTGTTCAGATAGTTGACGGTCAGTATTGTGTCTCCCTGCATTTTTTCTTTTCCAGACTCAAGACAAGCTACTTCCTTCGATGGTTTCTTATAGGACCGGGTTTCCAGATCCCTCCCTGTCCTCCTTGGTTTGCTTTGCACATGTTCCAATGTGTCGATGACGTCCTCAAAATGTGGTGCCCACAGCTGGCACGGCACTCCAAATGTGGACTGAGCAGAGCAGAGCAACTACTTCTGCTGACATGGAGAGTCAATTTTGCAGAGGCAGCCTCCAGGTTCCCATCTGCAAGAGGGTTGCAGAGTTCACCATCTTCGAGTTGACCTTTAAGCCCCCAGACAGGCACTATGATTGAACTATGCACGGCAGGCTCCATTTCACAATCTGGACACCACGGGACTGATCCTCACTCGTGTTACACAGACTGTACTCCTCCTCCCGGTCGGAGTGGCCGGTGTCACATGTAGGGTACTTGCCTGGCTGGCAGGGAGCACTAGACACAAGTAATCATCATTAAGCTAATGACAGGTCTACAGTGTATAATTCAAATGATTGATTAGTCATCTCCTTTCCCCAGGGAATTCTGGAAGCTGCACTTCTGTGAGGGATAGGCTGGGGAGACCTTTCTGGCTGACTCAGCTATTCTTTGGGAGCAGCCATCTTGGCTGATGTCAAGGGTGAGCACGGCTGGGCCCCTGCTGAGGGACCCCACCCACGCCCTGTGCTAGAAGCCCCCTGGGATCGCTTCCTCTTGCAGCCTGCTTGTTCATGGTAGCGGTTCAACGATGGAGCAGGAGATGCCACAGTCTAATTCCTCCCAAGCTTTCTGCCTGTCAAGCAAGCCAGCAGTAGCAAGCATGAGGAAGAGGAAGAGGAGCAAGAAGGGCTGGTGCAACACCGATGAAAAGGCAGAATCACTGAAGGACCGAGAGACTGGCCACCAGGCCAGTTCAACAGGAATAAAAATAAGGCGTGTGCATGTGTCATGTCCAACAGCATACTGCAGAGAAGATGGTTGCTTCAAGATGGACCCCACAGTCCTCCAGAAAGCAGTGGAGATTAGGCAGTGTGAGGAAACTGCTTGGAGGTGGGAATCCACCAGGAATCCTCCCTGTGCTCGGGTCAGCTTTGTCACAGCCCCGAGTCCAAGTTCCTGGTGGGCGCGCCCAGGGTTCACCAGGAACGGAGACCCCCACAACCGTTGTGCAAGCCACGTCCCTCTCCTCCAGCACACACAGCAGCCTTTGTTTGTGCTGCTGCACAGAGGTGGAAGAAGGTTGCTGTTTGTGCCAACTTCATTCCACAAGTGCTGGCGGACGTCCTCTTGGCTCCGCTGGCCTTCCGAGACAGGGCCAAGCACGAGAAGAAGGCAGTGCACTCCAGAAGGACCAATTCTGCTGTTTTGCCCCAACCTTAGTGGAGACCCTGGCCTTCCATTCAAGTTGTTTGCAAAAAGGGGGTTGCACAGTCAAGAATACCAGTTTGGACGTGATGGATTTTTTCTGCCAATAGAGATGCAGGCCATTTCGACCAGGGATGGATGATCAAACAGGCCAAAAGGGCCAAGACTGAGGGCCTCTGTCTCTCCCAGGGTCGTACCTGCACAGTCTACCATGATGACCCAAAGGAGTTACCAAATAACTCCTTAGCAGGGCCTGGCCTAGTCTGCAGATTTCATAGGATGCCATTGGCTTTGATGACCATGCAGGTACTGAATAGGAATGTGTTCGCAGGTATGGCTCTTGGATGCACCTTGATTTGTAGAACAACACAAAGGTTTTCTAAATATGAAAAACCCTACAGTATGATGGTCTGTGGGAGTGCCTAAGAGGGGAGGCTGTGAATAACTGGTGCAGACCTTTGAAACTGAAGAGTTCACATCTCAGGTAAACCACTATGAACATCTTACAGCTGCCAAGGAAGGTCCCGGTTTTGCTGCTGTAAATAGCATTATTCTGTATGCTGTATTACATTCCTTTCATCCCATACACATCACCAACCTTGGCAGGCAGCCCGTTTTAGCAGTGATCCATTCAAACTTATATTCAGCACCTCACAGAACAATGTACCTTTGGGAACGTCCATGGGGTTGAGACTGCCAATCAGATCTCTGACATAAAGTCCGTCCCCATCATCCCTGCTCAGCCAATTGTTGCATGGGAAATAAAAGCGGAGGTGGGGCCTGTTCATGTCCGTCACTATCACGCGGTCCAGGAACCAGCTGGCATTCATCCCCGTGTTGTCATGTTCGATTCTGCAGCACACATAAGGAGTGGAACTCAAAATGAAACACGCACTCACGGAAAGGGCCGTTTGTGATTTCGTAACCTTTGCCAAGGCCTTTGCTTTCTGAATTCTGCTTTCTTTATTCACGCATTTGGGCTGAAGAGAGAAGCCATGCTGGCGCACAGCAGAGGTCCTAGCAGCCTAACAGTTCAGGGACTTTTTTCTAGGAAGCCTCTCAGCAGGACAGGACAGGAAAGGAAAGGCCACCTGCCTTGCCCCCCCCACACACACACCTGGCAAGCAAGGTGGATGGCCTTGGGATCAGGGGGCAGCACAGGTGGGACCTTGGAGTCAAAGGACAGAGCCCCCAGTCTCCACAAGGACCCAAATGACCACCCGTAAAGCATCAGCGACGACGGCATCAGAAACCACTTCCAATCTGTTCCTGATGTCAGAATGATGATATGATTCAAGGATGCATAAAAAAAAATGCACATGCTCAGAGCATTGTCCTTAATCATATTAATATTTTTCTGGGCCAGCTGGAAAGGGAGGAGGTGGCGGCAGAGGTGGCCTGAATGGGTGTGAGATGGAAAATTATCTCTGAGCAGCCTTTGGTTTTATTTAAGCAGTTGGTGACTTTCACAGTATCCTGCATCTCTGCCTGGCAGTGGGAGGGGAACGTTCTCACCCCCCCCACACACAGCCTTTGGCTCTGCCCCACCAACCCCAGGGCCCACTGGCTGCCACTGTGGGCGAGGGGCTGAAATCACGATTACCCCCAACTTCAAGACTTCAAAACAGCAGTAATCACAACCGTGCACTCACAGAGTGGCGCTCCACCCCCTATAATTCAAGCACGAATAAAGCGATCATTGGTAACATCAAGAGCAGGCCACAAATTTCCCAAATCTTCTTTTAAATCCCTCTGGATGAGGAAGATTCACCCAGAAAGACGCGAAGGAGACTATAGTTTATTGGTACACGCTATCCTTCCTATTATTTCAACCTGCCATGTTGCAATCAGCCAGCAATTATTTCATTCCAATACCTTATCTTCTTTATGGTGCCAACGTTGTTGGTTCGCACTCGAAAGACGTCTGTTTTGCTCCTTTCGAAGGCAGAGCTGCTCCTGAAACGTGAGCACACATGTAATGCTCCATACATAACAGACGTTTCCTCATGACACATGGCCATGCAAAAGCATATCTATACACATATTTACACATATGTTTCCTTCCAACACTTGGGTGATCTGCGAGATATCAGCATGCCTTGTTGTGATCATTCCTTCAAGAGCGTCAACCAGTGTGGTGGTGAAATGGACATGCAACGGGGATTTACCAGCGGGCAGCCCCCGAAAGGCAAAGAAACAGGAAGCCGTGTCGTGATGCTTACAAAGAAATGCCTTGGGAGAAATGCATGGCATTTTATCTTATCTTCCACATGGAGCCAACAGCCATACAAAATGCCATACATTTCGCAAGACTTTTCATCCGTGAATGCTCTGAAAACAGCTCGCAGGGAGATGCATGAGATCCCAACCTTTTGCCATATTCTGTGAACAGCCTGACCAACAGGGGGGTTGCCGTGTTCTCCAGCTCCTGTAGCTTATGGCATTTGCACAGGAGGTCAGCGGATCAGTGATTCCAGCCGGACACCCGCGAGCACTTGCAGGTGGGCATCATTTTCTCCTGGCTTAGCCTAATAAGTCTTTCAGATTTCTAGGAGACTGCAAGCAGGGAAAAGAGGAATCCGGAGCAAAATGCATGCATTGAAATAAATGGAAGGGCCTCATTGGAAAGAATGGCGAACTGCTGCCTGCTATTTGTGGGGGAGGGGTGTGTGCTGCTTCAGGCTTTAGTCAGGAGAAGAAAAATTTCAAAGGGCCAGCAAACTTTCCAGCAAAACTGAAAGGCAGAGTACACTGCAGAGCAAAATCCAGCCCAACCACAGTCCCAATATTGGGGGGGGGGGTCCCTGATGAATACCCCTCTTCTCCCAGGCATCATTGGGTGCAGTGTGGGCAGTTCCCCCTTTTCTAAAAGGCTGAAATGTTTCTCCTAAGGCACGTGGAAATTCCCAGGATTGGCTTCTAGCATCTCCAGGTAGCAGGGGGAGAGGCCCCTGTCTGGAACCCTGAGAAGTTCTTGCTATTATTATATTGCATTTATATCCCACCTGTCCTCCTCTTGCAAGGAACCCCAGGTCACTTTCAAGGGGCTCTTTCTCTCCAGTTTATCCTCACAATCACCACCTTGTTTCAGCTGAAAGTCCATGACTGGCCCAGCAGCCTTCTTGGCTAAGTGGGGGACTGGAACCTGGGTCGCCCGAATCCCAGCACAGTTAACCACTATACCTCTCTGCTCGCTGATGGCAACGGTCACTAGCAGCTTCTTACATCCCATAGAGGAATTTCTCCACTCCCATTTGCAAGAGAGAAGCAACACTTCCAACTTTCAGCAGCTCAGTCCTTTACATATCTACTCAGAAGAACGTCCAATTAAATTCAAGGACCAACTCCCAGTTATGGATTGGGCGAGGATTGGAGCCTCAGTCGGGGATTGCTTTTTTCCCTTTTTCTTTTCTTGTTCTTTGTAAGCCATCCAGAGACTTTTAGCAATGGGACAGCATAGAAAAACTTTGAATGAATGAATGAATGTGATAAGGTTCAGACTCTCTCCCTCAGCAACCCCATCCCCAAATATATAACTCGGAGCAATGGATGTTTTTGAGCTTTCCCAAACAGTCTCTGCCAAATCCACATTTTTTGTATGGAATATGGCAAACAGGTCTGAAATGTCATGCATTTCCTTTACCATTCCCATATTATTTGGCTTTACAAGATTTTCATGTTTGAGTTGCTTCAGTGGGGAAAGAAGCTCTTTGGAGGGCAAAATTTAAAATAGCTGCAGGTACCTCTTGTCGGAGCTGCAGAAATGGAAAAAATGTGGAGTTACGGCACAGAATTGGCATTTTCTGAGACACATTTGCATCCAAAGAAAAACAGGCAGGCACAGCAAAGAATGTGACTCTACAGGTAAACCTTAGGCTACAATCCTATGCCCACTTACCTGGCAGTAAGCCCCACTGAACTCGATAGGACAGGACTATGGAATTGAATTCAGACCGTGGGCGGCACTCCTTTTGGACAAACAATCCAGGTGTGCATCCCAGCAGTGGGTGGGGCCAAGGGCAAAAGGGGTGGGGCTGAAAAAGGCAAGCTTAGAACTCTTCTTGCCCATGAATCAGCCTCGGGGAGCCATTTCAGCCCTGCAGGATGGGGCAACGCTGCAGAGGGGCCAGGAATTCACCTATGGATGGTCAGAGGCAGAGATGCAGCCAGTAGAAGTATACATAGCCTTCTGGGGACCACCAGACCCAGAGGGCCAGGCTTGGTCTCCAGGCATAAGGTTCTGCAGGCCTGCTATATAACTTACTTCTGAGGAGACCTATAGGAGATTGTGCTTTTAATTGTTTTTTGTTAAGACTGTCTTTCTGTTAAGAAACTTCTTTGTAAAATGTGCTTTTCCAAGTGCACAGCAGTAAAGAAAAGAGCAGGATGGGGTTTTTGGATTCAGAAGACTGATTCAGACCACCCAAGTTATGGTTAACAACTGGCCTAAATATTCCTTGCGGATCAAGGGCATCCATGTTGGTAGCCTGGCAAAGAGGTCATCTAATTGTTCACACAGCCCAGTTTCCAATGCGGATCGTACATTTAAAAGCAAAACAAAACTTGCCTTGTTGCATTCTGAACCCATCTGTTCTTATTCCACTACCTTTCCCATGTGCATAACATCCTTCAAACAGGGTTATGCAAACATCCCCACCTACTGAAAACTAACCAACTAACCACACACTGCGTTCTAAAGCACTTTAGAGCAGTTCAATTCAACATAGCGCAGTTTGTAAAGCCACAGAAATTGGTGGACGATGGGTCAGATGAGGCGTGATGAGCACTTAAAGGGGATTTAAGGACATCTGAGCTCGCACTGCAAATCAGAGTGGCAGAAAGAGAGTTATGCATAGGTCTCTGTGCTTACGCATGCTGAAGTCATTCATGCAGGTGGAACTTGCTTCTTCGCACAGGCTCTGCATGCATTTCAGTGGAGCGTGTTCCGCCCAGCAGACTTGGAACACACTCCAGCGAGCCACAGAGTTAGTGGGATTCCAGTAATACTTACTTGCTGGTCAGATGGGCCTTTGGCGTGATGCCAAATTCACCAAAGAGAGTGACGAAAACGTTGGCATCCGTTCCAGCTCCTCGGACATCTCCTGTCACTGTCACCACTTCATAGACTATAGGAACAAGACACGGAAAGGTCATAAAAGCAGGCAGGCAGGCGGGCAGGGAAGATCTTACTGCTCTGAAAAAGGATCCCAGCATTCGGAGAAAAAGCAGCACTGAGTTAATCAAGGTTTCCCCTGAAAGTTCTTTTCAGCCTCAACATGTCCAACTTCTGCAAATGTAAAAAGAAAAAGATTTGGACTCTTCCTCTGACCGAGAACTAGAAGCACTGCTGGGCCCGTAAAAGATTCCAGGCACAGACCCATAAGGCATAAATCTGCATAAAATTTGTGTAGGTTCATTTAGATCTATCTATACCAATGTAGAAATAATTACTGGGAAACATTTACATGTCACAGGAGACAAAGGTCACCAATTATTTTTCATCCAAATAATTTCAACTCAAATAAGTTCTTTGATTAATTTGCACCCTGCCCCACATCATCCCAAGTTAATAGATTTTTTTCTAACCTTAATTGCCATGCAAGAAAAGACTGTGGGGACTGAGATGTTATATCATGCATAGAGGGGAAAGTTCACCCTGCCTTCCTCAGCTGTAATCCTCCTTGAAAATTGTCCCCTGCATGGCAATTAAGCTAATAAAAATAGCCCTTTGTTCATGATTTCCCAGCATTTGCAGTCTTTTCCCCATTCTGAAGGGCTGAAATGCCTTAATTACTGGCATTAAGAACTTGAAACAAAAATACATTGCTAGTTTTCTTCATTTTCGGCTCCACCCTATCTGCATTTGCTCCACCCACTTTGTCCTTGACTCCACCCGCCACTGGAATTGGTCCCCAGAGGTTCTGAAAATAGATGGTGTCTCTCAGGCTAAAAGAGGTTCAAGTCTCTTGTTGCGAATGGACAAGGCGGTTACTCCTGGCCTGCTTCCCAGGGTCCGGGTTGCACTGACTCTTCAGATGAGAACTGTGCTAGCTGGGAAACGGACTTGTGGGAATCAAGATGGCGGAGGAGCATGAGGTTATCTCAAGGCCTCCATCTCCAGGGGAGCAGGAAGACAATGGGAATAGACAGTGTTTGGAAGAGAAGGGATGGGACTGGGGAGAGGAGGAAGACGAGCCCATGCCCTGTCTGGTCCCTCACCCCATGTCACAGTGTCAGGTTAGAAGGCCTGCATAGATCTAGAAGGCCAGCCCTTCTCTCGAAGGACACATCCAGAGGGGCTGAGCCCAGGAAAGGAGGGGTTGTGGAAGTAGTTTCTAGTGTGGGGTCAACAAATCGCTTTGTTCATGCACAGAGGCTAGTTTTCCAGTGGCTATAGTTTGTTAGCTGTGAACTGGAAATAAAAATGATGTTGCAAAGAAACGTTTGCTTGGAACCAATGAGGGGAAACCCAGTTCCTGAGAGCTCTGTCAATTCATACGGAACATGCAGGCTCACAAGCATCCAATGCAAGGTACCCCTGAAGTCTTCCCTGCTAGCACTGCCCCTCTCACCCTGCATTTGAGTTAGACAGCTGTTTTCAGCCATCTAGGAGGAGGAGGAGACACAGATCAAAATGGTACAACTCCCCGGCACACCCCTTTCTCCCCCTTCCAAGGGCCAATGGGGACCTGGAGGTGCAGCCGAGGCAGCTCTTTTCCTCCAGGTGCAAGGGCTCTGAAAAATCCGAGACGTTGCAGTCCATGTCAAAAGATCTCTGCTTATTTTGCACAGGGCTCCTGAAATAGCAACAGCTCCATGGGACCAAGTTCTGAACGACCGGCAACCCGGAGTGTCCTGTGCATGCTGTAAGCCAGACTATAGTTCACAGGGAAGTAGAGCTATGGAATAGTAGCATTGGAAGGGGCCAAGAAGGCCATCGGGTCCAACCCCCTGCTCTTGCAGGTCACCTAAGAGGATCCAGCCAGTTCTCTGCTCTGATTGTTATGTCTTTGAAGGTGTGGGACTGCATAAGAGAACTGAGAGTCCTGGGGTTGGCTCACAATTGGCACCACACCATGGTGTGGCTTATTGAAATCTGGCTTGTCACTGTGCCTTTTCCTGCAAACAAGCCAGGTAGTGCCCGTCCTGCTGTTTCACCTCCTGGGGGCTTGCCTTTTTTCTAAGACAGTAGCTCCACTGTGTTACATTGTCCCATTGTGTACGTTTTTTCTAAGACAGTAGCTCCATTGTGTTACATTGTGTTGTTCACCCACAACACAAAAACATGATATCTTAAATTGAACTCTAGTTTCCTGTTGTGTCTGACTCCATTCTCACAAAGGTTTTTTAAGCCTATTTTTTATTTATTTTTATTCTTTTTGATTTACTCTGTCTATATCTAGCCTTTTTCCAGTAAGGATCCAAAAGCAATTTCGTAATTCCCCTCCTTTCCTTTTTATCTTCATAACAGCCCTATGAGGTAGGTTAGTCTGAGGGTCAGTGATTGTCCCCAGGCAACTGGTGAGCTTCTATAGCCATATGAAGACCAAAACCCCCGTGTTAGTCCTGGACCAGCATTGTAAACACTATGCCACCCTGGCAAATAGAAGCCATGGTTTGTTGTTATCTTATGAAGTCTTGCTTTTTTAAACCGTGGCTTGTCGTGAAGGCCAGCCCCAGGATCATGACTTACCACGGGCTTGTTTGTTCTTCTCACTGTAGTTCTCATTGTAACTGCATTTTTGCCCTGATTTCTGTAGTCAGCTCCTTGGCTCAGCCTCCTCTCCTCCCTGCCCCTCCAAGCCTGCCCCTTTTTCGCCCCTCGCAGGCATATTTCCAACCTTGTGGGGGGATCTTTCCCTGCCAGCTGCAAGGAAGGTTGTGGAATGTGAGATCACAGGCCCCTGGAGAACAACCTGTGCCCCCTGACCTCAGGCTCCATCAAGGGGCCATATCGTTTTGCCCTTTATTCCTTTAAAGATTTGCAGGTAAACATTTTATATTGTGATTTGCAATTTTTGTGAACCTCCCAGAGAGCTCTGGTGATTGGGTGGCTTAGAAATAAAATAAAATGTTTTTTGTGCGGCTATCGCCCATGGAATAGAGACACTCAGCACAAGTGGGTTAGGGTTAGGATTAGGGTCTCTGAAGACTAGGTAAATGGGCCGGAGATGAACCCAGGAGCAGGGAAGGCAAGCAACAATGGCTTTCTTCCTTTGCAAGACACAGGGAACACCTGGACCTCCAGGAGGCGGTGAACTGTGGCTTCCTTCGGGTTGTTTTGGTACGCTCCCTGTACCATATGGTGTGAGTACAAGTCCAGTCCCCAGGCTGGTCTGCAGAGTGCTGTTCCACGGTCCAGCCTGCGCTGAGGTTCTGGGGACCCCTGCTTTGCCTTCCCAGGATCCCAGACCATGGAAGGAGGCTAAGCATGCATTCTCCCATGTAGCCGATGGATTCCCCTTGTGCTGTTGGCAGCTAAAGGACTAATTATGACAATGGACAGACACACAGCCACCTGCTTCTGGCTCGGCACAATGGCTGAGATCTTGAGGAAGCTTTCCAAATTTGCATGGGTGGTTTTGGGCCATAATTTATGAATGGACACGACTATCAGGGCAGCCTGTTGCAATCAATGCATGATTTTCCCAAAGAATAGTCGAATATTTTTCCATATGTCAAATATATAGGAGCACATGGTATATGTATGTATTCCTGGCAAGAGGTTTACTCTAATTTCATGTTAGAAAACCAACATTTTCTTCCCCACGGGCGTGTATCTTGCTTTGAATCCCTGAATAGAAAGACTCTTTGCTGCTTGGCAAAACACAGCCCTAACCAGCAGCACCAATAGTGAACAAGAATGATGGGAGTTGTAGTCCAACAGCATTTGGAGGACTGCATGTTCCCTAGCTGCTGTAATCCATTATAGTGTGCAAAATAATTGGCAAATTGGAAGCACACAGCATGAAAAGCAAGAGAAAAGGGCAAGCAGGTATCTTGAACAGGTGTGGCTCTGAAAACAGGAGTATCAGCAAAGTGGCGCATCTCGCTCCAGGTACAGAAAGAGCTTGAGAGTTTTTGGTTGGGAAAAGCTACACCTAGATAGCTTTGTTGGCCTGTTTTTCTCCCCCGTGGAAGACTCTGTCACTTTATGATTTTTCATTTGCTAGGACAACCTTTCAGGTGGGGGTCACTGGGACATACCTCAGCTATATGTGCATAACCTTAATCAATTTTTTATCCCATGTTTCTTCCAAGGAGTTGAAGGCAGCTTGGATGGTCCAACCGCCAATCAGCCCCTGCGCCATCCAGTCCTCACACCAATCCTGTGAGGTAGGTCAAGCTCTAAAGCCACTGATTCAGGCCAAAGGCTGAGTTCGGGCCATGAATGGATGGCTCTCCATCTCGCACTCAGTCCACTGCCCCCACTGGTTCTGCCATATGGAGAAGACAATGCAGGAACTGGAGACAATTCCCTCAAACTGCCACACTCACCTTTTTTCTTGTTATATTCATCCTCAGTTTCATGGGAAGATTCAGAGTGATAATTCCGAAGTTCCTGTTCATACATCTCTGCAAAATTCTCCTCGTTCTTTTTCTTCTTCTTCTTGTCTTTGCTCTTGGACTTTTTCCCCTTCTTCTTCTTCTTTTTCTTCTTCTTCTTCTTTCGGTCATAGTCATCCTCTTCACTGTCACTGAACTCTTTCTTCTTTTTCTTCTTCTTCTTCTTTTTCCTCTCCTCACTGCTACCCTCACTGGTCTCTTCTGAGGAAGCCCTCCTCAATTTCCTCTTCTTTTTGTAGATTTCCTCTTCATCCTCTTCATCTTCCTCTACCTCCTCCTCTTCCTCCTCCTCCTCCTCCGATGATCTGCTCATCCTCTCCCTCTGCTTACCATCTATCCCTCCTGGTCTCTCTCATGTCATTGCTTGACCATCCACCACAGTTTCTCCCAAGCAATTCAGCTGGTGCACCTGACGCTTCCCTACACGAAGCTCTCCCCCCAATGCTTCTCTCTCCTTCCACTTCTCGAATGGTGTCAATTACCTCTAATGGCTCCGCATGGGATCCTCATCTTCAGAAGGGCCACGGATGCCCTTTCCTACCTTGATCAACAATTCCATCCATCAATTGCTTCTTTAACTTCTCCTTCCTTGAACTTCAGCCCTTCCTTCTTCCACCTGTTTGATCAAAACAGCTTTTCCGTTCACATCTTCTGTTGCCCCTTTTCTTCAACTTGGTCTGTTTTCCAGTCCCATTACTTATTCATTGCTCTGAGCACAGCACTTCCTTCTTCTCCACTGTATACTTGTTTTTTTAAAGAAGACCTTCCCCGTGCCTAGATTGCATCATGAAATGAGTTTCCTGTATCACCGCAGGCCAATGAAAGTCAGGAACCGTTGCAATGTAGGTCAGGCGGGGAGGTATCGTGAAATGCTACCTTGCGATCAGCACAGAGGTAGATTCTGGCAGAAGGAAAACCTTACCCTGTTTTTCTCAGAGCACCACCTGCGACTTCAGAAGCCTTAGGGATGCAAAGTTACCTGCTGCTGCTCCAGACAGGTGAGCCATAAGACAGACAGCCAGATGAAAAGAGAAAGAGTCAACCAGCTACCTAATCTGGCTGGGTTGCAGTTCCCTCTCCATTATTCATGGGTCTCAGGATTGTTTTACAGAAGGGGATCTCAAAACTTTGCTACAGAAAGCTTCCCTCAGCAATGGGAGGAAGAACGCCTGGCCTTTCCCTTCCCTTCGTCCTTTCACAGGAGACACCCTGGGGCGAGGGGGTATCCCTGAAGGGCCATATGCCCCCACACAGAGTGCCTCTGTGTGTGTATCAGTCAACGTTTCCCAGAAGCAACCGCCAAGCCCTGTAGGTGAAAGGCTCAACACAAACAACCTTACGCACCAACCCACAAACGTTGCCACTGCTTAAGGCTGAAAGTACGCATGCCACTAATGAGTGCATCTTCCCTGTAATGGGCCAGTAACAGAACCAGTAACGGTCCATTCTCCCACCCCAGCGGTGTCCTGGAACAGTTTGGTCCTGTTGGATGTAGCTCTGGCTTTGCTCCATTCCTCCTTGCATTGGTGGAGCTTGGGAGTGTCTCAGAACCTGCTCTGCTGCGCTTCCAAATGTTGTATTCGTAAAGGAGGAGGCTGTTGATCTCCCTCTGCATCTGCTGGGGGTCCATTGCGCCTCCTTCACAGGGGCCTGCACCTGAGGAGGACATGCAAGGGCAGATCTGTGCTTGGTCTTCCGGCTACTTGAACTTGAGGGCAGGATGATGGGGAAGGAGTTCCTCAGCCTTTTATCTGAGGGCCAGTTTTGCTACCAGCACTGCAAGGAGGGCCAGTGTCTTTTTTTAAATATTTTATTAAAATTTTTAGCTAACACTAAAACAACAACAAGAAGAACAACAACTCCGTGCTAGGACCTCACCCTCGGTCTGCAAAAATGCCTCAGGTTCAGTCCTCTGTATTTCTGGATAGGGCTGGAGGAGCTCCCGCCCGAAGCCCTGGAAAGCATGAGTGAAAATACTAGGATAGCATTTTTCTGACTCAGCCGGGCCCAAATAAAGGGTAGGCAAGTTTGGGCATCTGCCAAGGGCCCACAAGCCCAGCAGGGGCCCATTTACAGGACCCCCTGGAGTTGTCCCTCCCCTCCCCATTGCTACCTGCTCGTTCCTCAGGTTCTCAGTCAGGTCCAGCCTACAGTGGTGGTGGTGAAGAGAAGGGCGGCAGCAAGAAGGTAGACCCATGGAAGGAGCTGGACCAGTGGGGCCCTGGCCCAAGGGACTTCCAAAGCTCTGCACAGGGCAGCTTTCTGTGTTCTTCAAATGGCAAGGGGCAGATTCCCAAGCCTAGATGATGGAGGACCGGGCCACTTTGGACTAGCAACACAACTTACATGCTCCCCACAACCTTCCCCAGGTATCCTGACCAGGGAGGGTTCAGCCCACTCTTAGTGCCACAAGACTGGATGCACCCAAAGCTTCTGGTGTAGAGACTAGGCCTGCTTCAGCGCAGAGAGCATTCCCAGGTGGTCACCTTGGAATCTGTATCAGGCTTGGAGGATGAGGTGGGGCTGCAGTTCTTAGATGGAACGCCAAGGCAGGCCGGCCCAGTGACACGCCAAGAGGGTGGTGAGAAGTAGGCAGCACGTTCAAAGATGGGCTGGACGGGCACATGGCGGGCATGTCGTGAGCAGAGCTGGCTGGAGCCGGGGGTCAGACTAGATGGCCTGGGAGACCCCTTCTGACTCGCTCTGTTTCCATGTTTCTGCGTTTCTATGTTGCTGTGCAGGAAACTCTGTTGAATAGGTGGAATTGGATGGGGCAGACTTAACATGATTGATCCAATGATGCAGCATCATATCAAGGGTAGTAGCATCCAAAATTCCTGCTGCCTGGTACCCAGTGATCAGGAACCACCCTGAGGGTGGTCCTATCTCCTTTTGTTTGGGAAGAGTGGAGGGGGATTCCATTTGGAATCAACTGAGCTAGCTTCCCCTAATAGCTGGCTTTCTAACTTTGCTGGTGGCATCTTTGGTTAATGACTCCTGGAATACTCTGTTTGTATCACCAAGCCAGCCTTTCCGGACAGCTTTAACATAACAAAGACAGTAGTTAGAAGCCTCTTGTCCTGATCTGCTTAGAAGAAGAGTGTGGAAGGAGGTGGGGGAGGCCAGCCCCCCCCCCCCATCTGAAGGTATCTTTCTTGCCATCAAGGTCAAAGAAGCTGGGCTAATTGCTAGGTAAGGCACGGACAGCTTTCAGGTGCTCTTCTCCATGCTAAAAGATGGTGAAGTTCTATGGGTGACTGAGGAGCTGCAGGAATGGACAACTGTGCCAAAGTCAGTTTGCCTCAATTTCTCATTCCTCCATCCCGAAGTGTGGTTCATCCTGGATGTTGTGGGCTTTTCCCTCCAGTGATAAGTTCAGGTTGCCCTGACTGTCGGGATTTTGTAAAACATTTTACATGAACATCCGTACACTTTTTCCCTTTCCAAAACAGCATCAGATTGCAGCCTTGTTCATTTGTTTATGTCTCCGTCTGCAACACGTCCCCAGCACAGTTGTACGCGCTACATGTGAGCAGACAGCAAAGAAGGGCCTCGTTCCACAGCCAGAAATTCTATTGGTGCAGATTTGCATGTTACCTCCCTTCGAAGACTCTCTTTCCCAACCCTTAGGAATTATAAGGGTTGGGAAAGTTCCTCAGCAGGCAGAACTTACTTCCTGCAAATACAGCTTTGTTTATCCAGCATTAGCCATGGAAAAAACTTACATCTTGCTAGAATCCCTAGCAAAGGAAGGCAAGCACTACTGGCAGTCAGAGCTGAGGGTACAGAAATGGCGCTTTCCAAAGCCCAGCCTGGCCCCGACTGCCTTTTCGTCTTTTCCAGCCATCCCCATCATAGGGAAGAGCCAACATATCCTAGAACCCCTGGGAAGGCATCCCAGGAACCATATAGCGTTTCAGCCTAAAGGTAAAATCTTATGCATGCATATACATACAGTGGCTAGCTGGTATGTACTGGGTATTATAGTCCATTTTTCTGTATAAACATGTGTAGGGTTGCATCCAAAATTGTTTTTAATTTCAATATCCTTTAACCCATTTGCACTTGCGATTTGGAGGCTGCAAGGTTAATAGTTTGCAAATTAGCCCATGAAAACTCATGTGCTCAATCACGGTTTTCACATTTTCCCACTGGGAACAAGTCCATTAAATCAAAGATCACAGTTCTTTACCAAAGCCATTGTCTCCGTACCTGCCTTAATTAAATGAAAAGTAATACAGTGAAGAACACTCCGGCACCTTTTATTCCTTCTTTGAATAGCAAATGGGGAAAACTGCATGATGGGAGATCACTGATGCATACAGAATGGCTGGGGAAGCAACCAGGTTATTGGCAAGGAACGTTAGTTAAAGCTGTGGATGGGATTCATAATCATGTCAAGTTTTCCAAATGCTTTTTCTAAGAGTTTGTGAGCCAAACTCTGCTTCCAAGCATCACCCAAAAATACAGAGTACAAATTGCATAGAAATGATGGAGCAAAAAGGACAGCAGTGGAAAATGCTGGCTCCGATATTAGAGAGGTGGTATATCCTCCCCATATTTCAGTCTGAACTGAAGGAGCTGTCCGTGGTACTCAACGCTCGGTCTAAAACTGGGGTGCCCAACCCATGACCCATGAGCTGCATGCGGCCCAGGATGGCTATAAATGCGGCCCAACACAAATTTATCAACTTACTTAAAACACTGAGATTTTTTTGCAATTTTTTTGGTAACTCGATTGTGTGGTTCTCAAGCATGACCTTTGTAGACGACAATGTAGTGTCGCAAAGTCATGGAAAATAAACATGTATGCTTTCCTAGGATTATAATGTGAGGACTTTTTTGCTTCTCTGTGGTGACGGATATCAAGAAAATTATGCACAGAACTTTTTTTTGCTCATCTGTTTTGTTCGTGTTTGTGTATTTAATGTGCGGCCCAAGACAATTCTTCTTCTTCCAATGTGGCCCAGAGAAGCCAAAAGGTTGGACACTCCTGGTCTAAGACAACCACTGTGTTTGGATCGCTCCTTTAAGTTCAGGCTGAAACGCAGAGAGAGTACACAGCTACCGTTCAGAGCTCAGCTGTTGTGATTCTATGATTCTACCCATGCGAGCTCAGAAGAAAGCTCTTTAATAGAAAAGCAGTGTGCTCAGCTTTGCTTATGTGCATCTTGGGGGTGGCAGCTTGGAATCATCCCGCCCAGCAGGGAATCATAGAATAGTAGAGCTGGAAGGGGCCATAAAGGCCACCGGGTCCAACCTGCTGCTGTTGCTGTGAATCATGGTTCACCACATTACGTGCCCCCTGTTGACT